GGGGACAGTGGATATGACGGCAGCTTGAAGGATAGCGTTGTCGAATAGGTTCTCCCAATGCCGAGATCCTTTGTAGGCCCGGATCCTCTCCAAGCCTCGAGCCTCCACATCCGAGAGCTTCTCCTTCCTCAGCCCTTCTTCTTGATTTTTGGCCATGTGGCACAAGCTAGAATCAGGTCGGCATAAAGGACGAAGAAAAACTTCTCTCTCCACCCATTGTTCATCTTAGGAATATTAAAAACTAGTCAACAATCACTGACGGATCTACAACTAAAAATGGCCCTCCTTCTTGCCAGCCTTAGCGCACACTAGATTGCCCAAAACATCCAACATCGACTCAACATTCACACTGTGGCAGATGAAAAGGAAGCCACCCGAAAAGCAATGGAGTTTGACTTTAGTTGCGCCGGTGAAACCCCTAGAACCTTAAAAACCTGCTGGAGAAATGGGTGCAACAACAGACGAAAGCCTAGCCAAGACAGTGCCAATATATCCACGTCAAATTGTTGTTGTGATAATAGATGGACTGTTCCCTGGACAAAGTTGATAGTGTAAAAGCGCTAGGGATCTCATATTCTTGGGCATACTTCTCCAGCTAGCCCGTAAGCACCTCCTATTTATACTTTTGCAACAGATCAATTCTAGCCTCGTTGCGAGCAAAGTACGTTGAGTGTTGGAAGCCATTGGAATAGTCAAGAAGAACAACCAGAGAACAAGAAAAGCTTTTGGAAAGAAGAAGATGAACTCTCTCCGATAGAATAGAAGGTTTGCTAGGGTTTGTAAAGTAGAAAGAAAAAGGATGGAGCGGATATATATAAGCGAAAAGAGCTGACACGTGCAAAATGGATGGCTGACATGATTTAAGCGAAACCACTGATAAATTTCAAAAAAACTAGAGTGACAGCTCATCAAACGAAGCGCCACTCCGTCAAAACTGCCGTATGATATCCGCTAACATCAGAAACGTCAGATCGCGGTTGTCTTCTGATAAGGGCAGTCCAAATCCACGAAGAATGAGACAATTCATTCTCTCCTGAACTCGGCTTCCTGAGTCCAAGTGAAAATGGGTCAATGTTATACCCTAAAAATTACTAAGCCTAATGAAGCCTCAAAAAGCGGTCATGTGTAATAACTAGCCGGCCAACTCACATACATCTGAGAGTGCAACCATGGTGGGGAGTCAATCGACCTATCTTGCAGCCCAAATCCGAGATGAAACGCATTCCCCTCTTGGGCTCAACACTGAGCATCTTAAACAGTAAAATGATCTATCAACTTCGTTAAAAATCACATCGCGTTTAATGTATGACCAGTCAGCGCATACACTTCGCCACTCGATCGCCATCAACAATAATGCAATATCAGTCATTATGACCACTCGAGCTAGAGCCTTCAAAGCTTCTCGAACTGCTCCACTACTTTAGTAACCTTATCACTGTTGCAAGGTCAACTCGATTAACCAGTTGCCAACATGTGTAAAGCATGGTCTGACCCACACTGCATAAACCCGACCAAATTATCAACGTGCTCCCATAAATCCTCTATAAATAATGGTCTTCTACTATACTAAGGTACGCAATTTTACACACAAAAGACCCAAAAAACTACATTCTGCTTTTCTCTTCAAATTATCAGACTAGTCACTGATTCAAGCGTCGAAGGGCACACCAGCAGAAACAACCTCCGGGGGCTCCAAGCTCTGTTATTCTGTGTAGAGAGTTGCAGTTCATCATACACTTCAGAACAATTAGAAATCAGAGGAGATTAAGGGACCCTATGATCATTCTTACCTCTCCTAAACCACACACTAATTTCTCCACATCAACCCTTGTAAAACACATTTATAGTTACTTCTTTCATCATTAGTAGTAACCGATGTGATATCAAAAAAATTTAAAAAATAAAAAAGCAACTCTTTTGGAACTACTAACAATAATTGCAAAGAAACCATTTTTCACCAAAAAAACTGCAAGTTGTTTTGTAAACGCTCTCTTTTATAACTGTAATGAAAAAAATAACTACAATTAGAGTCACAATTGTTTTAGTAAATTGTAATTATTGTAGTTCAGCTACAATTTTCTGCATGGCAAAGAGCTTAGGTTAATGGGAACTGAAGATAATATTGTTATTTCTAAGGACTCTTTTACTTTTTCTTTTTTTTTTCCTCCTCTTTTTGGTGGAATTGGTCTAATTCTTGGTGGAACATAAGATTCTTCTTTATTCTACTTTCAAAGTATAACAACTCCCTCAAATTAGCTCTTCTAAACAAACAAGGCTTAATTAAATCCAGTTAAAACATGCAAACTCTAATAACTGCACATCTAACTTGAAGCGTACAGGGACCCAAAGGTTTCTTACAAAAATTCAAACATCGTTCAAGCTTTCAAACTTCATGATGAACCAAGTCACCCAAATGACTAGCGCATTCCATTCATCTTGCTTTACACTTCGTTTTGCTCCTCCGTTAAAGCTCGCTAGGCACAAATTATTTTAAGTAATAGTTATACTTGCTCTCCTCTGGAGTTTTTGAGATGAAAAACTTCACACAACCAGCAGTTTTGACGCTAAATTTATAGGGAAAGTGCAGATGGTGATGCACAAAAGAAATTTTCCTGACTACCTCAACCAACCAAAGATCAAAGTCCACAAGCAGCAACATGCCAGCCCAAATAGGCCACACGATTCAGTAGACAGTCCTTAGGGACCCAAATCATCCCTTAACACTAGCTACTACAGCTTTTAAGACTTTACTACTTTGTCAAGGGTACAACATGTCTTGGATAAATTTTTTCATAAAATTATTTTTATAAAAAAACTAACTTCCCGAAGCAGAATCGTATGAAAACATTAAATCTATACTTGACTGTGAATCTATTTATACATTAAATCATATTTCTCTACATTGGACGCACCAAAAAAAAGAAAAGGAAGGTAAAAGAAGAAAAAGAAAAAAGGATTTTAGATTTGCAAGCCCTGTACTGAATGGCATGAATAGGAAACAAATGACATGGTATTTGGCCTTAGGGATCCTAGTGATGATGTCTTGTGTTTGAGCTGCGTATTGTCACACCATGCAAAAATTTGGTGTACCCAAGAAAATTTAATTTACCGTCAGATGGTCTGATCCAATCTCGGACCATTGAATGTGCTGCTGGTCCAAGGTTCATTTCCTGCAGAGAACAACTTTATCAATGATTTGAGGAGAGAAATTAATAGGACTATTTATTTACATTAAAGTGAGAAGAACGTCGATATTACATGAGCCAATTCCTCAGTTGTGATGAAACGGTTGCCCTCACGCTCAAAGTGCTGGAAGGCGGTGTTAGCAATTTGTTCCCATTCCTCCAAGGCCTCCAATTGGTACGGACTCACAGCTGCAGCACAGAATTCTTCGAAGTCCATCCTTTTATACGCAAGAGAATCCAACTGAAAACATTGTAACCACACATTACACTACAAAAAAAGTGAGTATTTGGGGCGATCTATTAGGGGCAGAAATAGTGGTTTGCCCCTATTAATTATGAATTAGGTGCAGATGTTGAATATGTGCCTATTACTATTATTTGGGGCGATTTATAATACCCTTACAAGTTTGTCGTGAATTGAAAATAATAGAGGCGTCAAACTAAGTAATTTGAACTAAATAGTGGCATATATATATCCGCTCCTAATGTAATTTGACGCCGCTTTTGTTCATCTGTGTCGCCGAAACGTTTGGGAGGGAAATTTCCCCCGTTTATTTTCGCGAAAAGAGGAAATAAATGCCGTGCTCTAAAAAAACCGCTCTCTCTAAAGAAATCCCCAAATCCCCCGTTCTCTCTCTCTCATCAGAAATCCCCAAATCCCCCGTTCTCTCTCTCTCCCCCAAACCCCGTGCCGTCGGAGTTCGCCGTCTCTCATCAGAAATCCCCAAATCCCCCGTTCTCTCTCTCTCATCAGAAATCCCCAAATCCCCCGTTCTCTCTCTCTCATCAGAAATCCCCAAATCCCCCGTTCTCCCGCCGCCATGTCATCGATAACATCTCCGTCTTGTTCCTCTCTCTTCTCCACGATTCAAAGCAGCGATTTTGGGAGTCGGGACCTTATCGGCAACATCTCATCGGAGTTCGCCGCCATCTCACCGCCGCCATCTCATCGACAACATCTCCGTCGGAGTTCACCGCCGCCATCTCAATCTTTCAGGTGCTGCTCTGCCGTTTCTCCCTTTAAATTTTGTAATTGAATCGATTTTGGGATTTTATCGAACGCCTTAGTGAGTCTTCTGAAAATGTCCGGTTTTTAGGGAGGAAGAATTAACTAAACGTGCCAGTGCCCTGAAAGTAAATGCTGGTGTTGAGCCTGGGACAGACCTTGGTCCAGTTATTAGCAAACAGGTGAAGCTGCAGAATACTAGTTTTTTGTTTCAGTTCTCCTTATGCAATTCCTTACTAACGTATACTTCTGCAAACTTCTTTTGTCGCCTGCCTTGAATCAACAGGCAAAAGATCGCATTTGCAGTTTGATACAAAGTGGCATTGAAAGTGGTGCTAGGATTGTGCTTGATGGGAGAAACATTGTGGTAACCACATTTATCTCATTTTGTTCTTCAAAATCTTTCAGTGTCAGCAACCAGCTTATTTCCATGTTTAATTTAAGCTGAGACAGATAACATTGTACCCTGGGTTCCTAAAGGACATTACAAATCCTATTAAAGTGTCATATGAGAGATTTCGGTAAACTGGACTGCTTGGGAAATTTGTATAGGATCATTGGACAATATATGTTGCTTTGGTTGGAAGGAAGGTGGTGACTTAGCTCTGTTATTACATATTGGGTATTTCTGAAGGAAGTGAACTTATGCACTAGGAATGGCTTGGATAAAATAACAGAGTTTGTTTCTATATATATATTTTTGTTTCTTCTAGTACATGAACAGAGATCAGACTTGCATGGGATGAATTTGACTTTTAAGGTTGGAGAAAATATGAAATAGGGTTACTTGAGATAGAGATTTCTGTTGTGGCAATTGATTTTATTCAATTTGTGTTGTGCTTTGGAGTTGTATGCAATTAGCTATGGCAGATCCATTTCTTTCCCCTTGTTATAGATTCTTACTCTAGGAGATTTTTCAAATTTCAAGTGCTGCTCTATTGATGCTTGAGCTTAAACTCCATGCCTAATAAGGTACCATCTTCCTATTAGCCAACAAGGCTTCTAGGATTTGTAACTAGCTCACTTGGATAGTTTCCTTTTGCACTTTGTAATTGAATATATATTTTGATTAGCCTAATGTTGGGTTGTATGTCAATGCAGTAGTTCTTATCAACTCATGATAGTGATGGCTGTTGTCATGATGTTAATTGTGGTTATGAGCTTGAATTATTATTTACCATGACCTTTTTTAAATAAACTTATGAGTTTCCCAATTATGTCAAAATGTCTTTGCTAACTGATCACCTCGACGGATGGTTAGGTTGAATACCTTTGAAGGTTTCCACATCAATTAGAATCATTTGAACTTGCCATGGTTTTCTTTCAAAATTGGTAGAAAGTTCTAGCAATAACTTTTGAAGGAGGATCATGTTAGTTCCTCTAGAATATAAATTAAAATTTTGGAATCATAGTAGTTGTAATAGATTGAACTTTTACTCTGGTTGGCTGAAAGTTAATAGTATGTTTCTTTGCCTGGGGTCAATACTTGAATTCAACCATGTAACCTTCAAATATCATTTCTTCTCCTCCACAAAGGTTCTTCTAGGATTCTAGAGAGGTTCTTCATGATTCCAATGAATACACTTGTAGAAGATTTCGTGGTTGGTGCAGAGTGTTAAACTAAAGGCATATAAAAAAAATCAGGGACTTTTTATGCAGAGTATTAAATTAAAGGCATATCTGATATTCCCAAGGTACCCTATGTGTATTGATATCTGCATGCTGATCCATATACTTGAAACTTATTGTTTTGTGGTTCGTGTTGGTTCTTAGCGAAACAACTAGTTTGGATGTCTAACAACTGACTATCTGTGGCTGTTTGTTAATGGAAAAGATTGTTATCAATTTGGTGGCGAGTGGGGAACAAGAAGGGTGAAAAACATTGTTCCCCAAACTTGATATGAAGAGAGGCAAAAGTAAGTTACTTTCCTGTCATACTGTTTACTTTCCTGTCATACTGTTTCAACTGGTATTTGTTATGCCTTATCTTTTGTTTAATCAACATGCCACTATAAGGCCATTTGAATTACAATCTTCCGCTTAAAATTCAGATTCACATTATGAATTTTAGGATGTCTAGGAGAATCCATTATGCATCTCACTGTCTCAGCATCACATATACACCAGATGTAGGTAATGTCCTGGAATGAAGTATCCATGCAATTTATGCTGTGATGCATTTTTTCCCGATTTGTTTACTGAATTTCAAGCACTTTAATACTTCTATAATGATTACATATTGTAGAAGACTTTCTTAATTTATGTTAATCTTGAATATTTAGACCCATATTTTATAGTATTATCATTGAATTCCTAATTGCTTCTCCCTAGATGGGTGGGTCATCTGCACTTCCATATCCTGTTCTGAAGCAACGGGAAGCTGTAACAGGTCACCGCCTTTTGGAACGCTATGGTATGACCGAGGTCAGTGTTATAGTTTGAGTGGTAAAATTTGACTTGAATTAAATGTTCTAACTCTTTCAAACTTTAAAAATGTCTCTTTTACCGTTCACCGATAAAAAGTTGCTTTGCAGTTTGTCATGGTATTATCCAATCCTTTGCAGATTGTTTTTCTGTGTTTTACAAATAGGAGCAAAAACATGGTCGCAAACCCGATCCTATTGAGATGTTTTATATAGTGCACAAATGGCGAGATGAAAACAAAAGTTGGATAGATGATGCATCGGAGGAATTGGCGGTGAGTTTAAAATTTAATCATTTGTATTTAGACAAGTAATACATGTAAAAAATTTACTTTACTTCATACTGTGTCCATTTTGGCTGTTGAAGTGAATTCTTTTTTCAGGTTAAGATCTCACGGGAATTAACGAGTTTGGTTGAAACCCATGGCGAGGAAACATCAGAACTAATGCAACAAGCTTATGTAGCAGCATCGTCGTTCGCGATCTCCTTCCCAACAACACTCACCTTCCCAGCACACTCCGACATCGTACCCATATCCTCCATATCACCATCTTCCACCGTATCCGTATACATCATCTTCGCAGTTCCACTACCCCCATCCATACCAGCCACATTTGTATCGCACAGTGCCACACCCACCTGGAGAGTTTACGGCAATGCTCAATGATTCAGATTTTATGCAGCAGATGATGCCACTAAATGATAGGAATGGCGGGGATAAAAGTTAGATATTTTTACATTCATGTTGAAGGTCAACTTTGTTGGTTATTTTAAGTTATTGTTAAGTACTATTTGTCACACGCTTTTAAAGCAATTTTGGTACATTATTATGTAATCAAATTGGATTGACTTCTTATTAATCAGAATTATTCATGTTTCAATTATTTTATGTTTGTTTTTCAATTTAATTATATGAATTAAAAATTAATTATTTTTTCCAGATTTATTAAAAAATAAAAATATTAATATCAAATTTAAGTTATTAGAGGCAATTATATTTGTACCTTAAATTAATACATTTATTTTAATTCTAACTATTTGGGGCATTTACATCTGCACCTAATAAGTTATTAGAGGCGATTATATTTGCCTCTAATACTTTTTCAAATAAACCTGCTGAGGTGGCGCATTGAGTATTTGGGGCGGAAGTTTGTGCAATATTGCCCCTATTAACTATTAGCAACACCACATTTAGGTGCGGATACGATTTGCCACTCATGTAATTAGAGGCAGATAATTCCATTTATTTGCCTCTAATTGAATTAAAAGTGACGAAAATAATTGCCCCTAACTTTTTTTTTTTTGTAGTGCAATTAGTATCTGATATTTCCAATACAGGCCAAAGAGAAATGGCATCAGAAGCTTGGCACCTTGACTAAAGCAAAGGTTAACCCCTCAACTGGCATATTTAATTTAATAGGCTACTCGGACCACATAGTGCATGGCAATCACAACCCCACAGAAATTGCACCAGAAAAAAGATGCAATGATAAGTTAAATTACTCTGCAAGTACAAAATCGATTTGACCAAGTAGAAACCTTCTCCTGGAGTGCTAGCACATCCAGATCAGCAACGATAATTGATTGAAGTATAGTGTCACGGATAATGTGATTTGCATTTACAGCCATGTACTCACCCTCCCCCATATTCGAGGTTTTTCACTCAATGACATTTTATTTATTTGCTAATTACAAGTAGGAGGTCCGGTGAGAAGAAGTTCAGATTTTTGGGGGTTTTGTGAGAAAAGTTTAGATTTTTGGGGGTTCTGTGAGACACCCAAAAATTCAAGGGAGTTTTGGGATGAGAATAA